CAGTAGGTCTTGAGCTGTAGCACAAACCACATGCCGAGCAGGAGGTAGAGCGAGTACAGGTCTGCCTCGTGGCCGAGTAGTTCGACGTCGTGGACAATAGGAATTGGGCCCGATCGCATCCCAAAGAGAGAAGTCACAATGGTCACAACCATCAAATACAGGCACTGCTCGCCAATGTAACGGTCAAGAAGCGTCAAGTAGCTCACCGCGGGAACCATCGCGGTAATCGCCAACTTGTAGGCAGCCGCCGTTAGGAGCAACGCGAGCTGTGTCGCGATGCGGTCGCTCGGTTCGGCCATGGTGAAGGCGGTGGCGATCGAGAGGAAGGAGATCATCCCCATCGGAGCGACGACGTTGTACAAGAAATAGCCGCATTGCCGCCTTACGGTGCACGTGATCGCGATCGCCGGGTACCTGTTTGCTTCAGCCCTCCTGCTCGGCTCCAGCCAGTAGACAAGTCTTGTCACTAACAGAGTAGAAGGATCTGACCTCGGGGCCGATGTGACCAAGCGCTGGTAGCGTGGTTTTACCTCACACCCATGGTCTCACAGTGTGCCGGCAGTCGCCGAGCAGTGTCGCTCACACAAGCCGCAGCACAAGTGACTGAGGGCCAGTGAGGGCGAGCCCATCGCTGTCACAGCTGTGGTAGCCGCACAGTAGGCTGTGTCAACTGTGCAGAGCGTGTGAGCAGCCGAGGAGCTGCTCTCCAGGCTTCTGACGCAAAGAGCTGCATGCCATCGAAGGCGCTGTCGAGGTTCGCCGAGCGCGGCGCAGGTTGGAGGACACCGTCACCGACGAGCGCGTTGGACTTTTCACTCCGGACAAAAACGCGGCACAGCGGACGGTGCGGGGCGTGCCGCAAACTTAGCGGCGAGGCGCGGGACCGTCTGTGGCGAAGTGGGTCGCGTCCTCCGATTTCCTCAACTCACGGTCCGCTCCCTCTACAGCACACAGGCTAGTTCCATTTCACTCTGACACGCTAATCTTGAAAACGTCCAACGGAGCTCCGTGTTGCTCCCAGCGCCCTCCCCCGCGCTTCCTGCGGCCATGGCCGATGATACTAGTATGAGAGGTCATCTGGCTACCGCGAGCGCGACTCAACTCGCCGACGTCGTCCGATGATTGTGCCTCAAAGTCAGCCTCCGGAGGCTATC